ATGGGGAGGAATTAACATTTGGGTGCTTTGTCCTATCTGCTTTATTTATCTCCTTTGGATTAGTGCTCACAGTAGTCCTGAGATGTGGATATCACTGACATCACTACATAACAGGCTCCAAGAATCAATAACACAGGCCATGAGCAGATACAGAATAAAATTACATGCTCATGATACTCCACATCTGATGGTTTGGATGTGAAACGTTCAAGCACTTGGTCCCCAGCTGGAAGTGCTGTTTGGAAAATCATGGGACCTTCAGGAGACGGGGCCTGGCTGGAGGAAGAGCATCACTAGAACAGGGCATGTAGGTTAAGGCCAAGTTCCAGCCAAGTCCTCTCGACTTACTATCTCTGAGACGTAACAAGACAAGGTACAACTCCTGCTGCCACAGAGGAAGTTCTGATACCCCGCTGGCCTTTCAATGATGGACCTCATCCTCTCAAACCATGAGCTGAAATAAACTCCTCTTCCTTGAGTTGTTCCTTTCAGGTGTCTTGTTGCATCAATGGGAAAGGTAACACAGTCCCCTACTCATTCACTAATGTCCTACGACAAATAATTTACCAGGCCTTATGGTCATTCAGCAGTTGATGCTGGAAGACAGAAAAAGAATGGGTGGGTGGATGGCTGCATAGATAGATGAAGAGAGAGAAAGACGGCCATGCGGAGAGACAGTAGATGAATGGACCCGGCCGGCTGGAGAGTAGGAAGGGTGGTGAATTGAATGTAAGCTCTCAGGCCAGAGGCGCCTGTAAAATCTGACAGTGTTAATGAAGACAAACTGAAGGACGGAACAAGCTACTAAAAAGGGAGAAGAATTCAGTTCTGTGACTCCAAATAAAGCTTTATGTGGGAATCATCTGTTAAAATATCACTAAATGTGAACACGCTCATTGGATGACCATCGCTGCATAGACAGACTGCCATCTTGTCCCAAGGGTAGGCTTGCTTGCTCGGGATAGACAGGCAGATTGGCACTAAACCTGCAGAGGGGAATGGCAGCCACGACTGTCAGAGAGCTCACCATTCTGCTGACATCTGGATTCTGAAGGAAGTAGTCAATTAGTGGGAAAGAAAATAGGAACATAAATTCTTCAAATAGTTGGTAAGCATGCCAGCAGGTTACTTATTTCTCCCTTTAAACAACGTGCCGGAGTCCTTTGGAAACTGATCACATTCAGTCCATGCCGCCCCAAGTTCTGGCACTTTCTACTGGTAAACCCTCACCTACGCTTGCCAATGACTCAGTTCCAGTATACCTGCCTCCCTTAAGTCTCCCCACTCTGGACTTGGGTCATCTGGCACTATGCTTCCCAGGTCTCCTTTCCTCTGTTAGGTCACCAGAGACCCTTGTGTGAGTTTTACAAGACTGAGTCAATCGTAAACCACATTTGCTTTATGCTGAGAAAACTAGCAGTTACAGTCGGTTGTGGCTAACCCATCACCCACCCTGAACTGAGGCAGAGCTGCCTGACAGGCAGCAACTTCAGCTTCCTCAGTACCTACCTTCTTTTGTCCCAGCTCCTAGGCTGCCTAGGAATTAGCTTCATAATGAAAGGCAACACTTCACCGGCAGTGCTTAAACACTCTTGAAGGAAATTAAAGACTGAAGCAACTTCCGGCCATGCTCCATTCCTATGGGCTCCAATTTGTCCACCCCCCCCACCTCCTCACCCCACCCCTGTCCCCCCTGCACTTCTCAAAAATCGTCCTTACCCTACAGCCTGCCCTACCAACTCCAGAGCCAGAGGCAAAGATGGCCAGAGGTTGACAAATTATGCCCTCCTCCAGGCATTCTAGCCCTCTGCCTAGTTTTTAAAAAGTTGTATTGACATATATTCATGGCATTTCTTTCTGAATTGCTTAGGGCTGCTTCTGAGCGGTGGACACTGCAGACCTTCAAAAGCCTTAGATATCTACTATAAGGATCTTTTTTTTTTTAAAAAAAAAGCTATATCAAGTCATGGCAAAGACAACGACTATTTGTAGACTTTAAGTCAATGCCACAATCATGTAAGGCTAAATCCCTCAATATTTATGTGTGTGCACAAATGTTTACATATTTACACATATTTATTACGATTTCTCTGACCCAACCAAGACTGTCTTAAATTTTCTGTTCCACCTCATTCTTACAAAGCAGAACTGAGTGCCCGGGTCACCGTAGCCTGTTGCTCTCGTGGTATTGGCCACATTGAGTTGTAATTTATTTGTGGCTCTACCTATGCACTTCGTTTTTACAGAAAAAAAACGGTTTAGAAGCCTTCTTTCTCTAAAAAAAAGTTTGCTAAGGAAACAAAGATTCCATGAATGAGTAAGTTGAACAAGCGAGTGCATGGATGAATGAGCGCAGGAGAGAGCAAGGGGAAACCTCTCTCGCCATTTGGAATTTCGTCTTATGCAAATCCCGTGGGCATGGCCAGCACACACAGACAGGATCCGGAAGAAAGTGGTTCGCTCTGGGTAGCTCCGACTGGGCCACTCTGTCCACCATCGTGCAGTCCCACTGCTCAGCACAGTGTTCCAGAAACTTCCTTCCCAGAGCCACTTTGTCAGGCCCATTATGGTGGAGAAAGCCTTCCGCCTTGACAGGAGTCCATTTGTTGGGGGGTGGCTCTGAAATCACCGTGTCGGTGACCCTCGGCCGTGCTTCTGAGCAGAGAACCCAGGTGCTACAACCCAGGTGCTGGAGAAAGGGGCGGTGGCGGGTGGTTAGCGCCTAGACGCTGTGGGCCATTTCATGAGGGATAGCCTCAGCCTGGAATTTAGCTCCATGTCAGCTGGGGACACAGAAGAGGTCAAGCCATGTGACTTCTCTGCTTCAGAGTTTACCCTTCCAAACTGTAAAGTGCTACGATTGTTGTGTGCAGCAGCAAACTGGCCGGTTTTACACCGGCTTCTGCGGATTCCCCACCCCCATGCCCGCGTTGCCTCTGAAACAGAGGTCTCTTCCGAGAGGAGGAAGGGTTAAGATGATGCACTATTCAGCAAATGAAGATCACAGTAAACACACCGAGAACTAGCAATTTCTTAGCTTGACTTAGTCTTTCAGTGTGTTATCATGAGGAGACTAGGGTTGCTTGCCAGTGCCTTTAGAAACCAAGTGGGGTGTGTGTGTGTGTGTGTGTGTGTGTGTGTGTGTGTGTGCGCATGCATGCTGCATGCATGCACGCATTAGAATATTCACCACATGGAGCAACACCAGTCAATTCAAACAGTGTGAGACTTTGTTTCCCTGCCCTAGCTCTATTGCATGGCGTATGCTTACATGCCTTTGCTGTTTTAGTAGCAACAATAAGACCTGCTTTTGTTGGGTGTTTGTTGAGTAGCTGTATTTGTTGAGAAGCTGCCGTACACACTGGGATAAGCACTTTTGTTTAATGTGCTCTCAGTCAGTCTTCTATTTGCCTTCCACAATAAGTATTTTTATCTATGTGATTATGGAAAAACGGGGTCAGAGAGGTTAAGTAACAGGCCTGAGGTCTCACAGCCAGGGCACAATCAAATATCTCTGACGCTAAAGCCACCACCATTTTTCCTGTGTTGAGCCATCCCCTCACTGCAATGCTCTGAGAAGCAGTCAGACTTTCCTCCTGACACACAGGGATATCCATATGCCTTTATGCTCATCCTATGAGCGTGGTGTTTGTTAGCATTCTAGTGGGTAGGTCTAACACTCCGAGAACCCACAGCCAGACACTGAATGACATTGGTTCCCTGTCACACAAGGGAACGATTATTCATTGTGTCAATGTCCAATGTCCGGTGTGAGGGACTCAGAATCAGGTCCAAATCTTTTCCAGGTGAGGACACTGAACTTAGAGAATAGAGTTAGCTGCTCATTCAAGCTAACACTTAATCTATCTAGCTCTCTCTGTCAGGTCATCTGTCTACTCCACTGCTACTGCCTCTGCAGCACCTACCCATCTCAGAAATGTAGTGTGTGTGTGCATGTTTGTGTGTGTGTGTGTGTGTGTGTGTGTGTATAGGGAGGGAGCTAGTTAGTCAGACAGCCAGAGACAAAAAGACAAAGAGGAAAAACACACACAAAAAAAGACAGACTGACATACACTCAGGCACACAGAGGAGGGAGGGAAACTTGGGGAAGTAGAGAGCTGGGATGCTGGTATCATTTTATTTTATACAATGTACAGTCTTTCACATAAGCCAAGAGAGACTGTGTCTTGGTGATGGCCTTCTAGTGCTTTCCTGAGATGGCCTGCTGCTTCCTTGTCAACCTCTGCTTGGAGGGAGACTGTGCAGGAAAGCCCTGGTGCTTTGGAGGTAATAGGCACAAAACACTGGTGTCACTGTGAGCAGGAGTTGGGCTACCCATTCCATGCCCTTTCCCATGGGAAAGGGGCGTCCCCAGCTTTGAGGAGCCTCTGTGACCATCTGTGCCTGCCTCCCGGCACCATCTCCCCCAAGATGCATTTCGAATCTAATGATTCTTCTCCTGGCACGGATTGAAGAGATCCACTCCTCTTTAGCCACACTCCAATCAGCAAGGATTTGTCCGTGTGAGCCCCGGCAAGGGTAGGCGGTGAGCATATATGAAAGAGGAGGCAACTGGAGTGCCCTAGATTCTCAGCCTCCAATATAATAAATAACGTGTGAGACAGGGCTGGGGGTGGGCAGGGAAAAGATGCATCACCCACTGCCATGGAGGTCGTACTGCCCTTCTCCTCTTTTCAGAGAAAAGCCTTTTTGTACACGCACACCACACTCACTCACGCATGCACATTCCCTGCAAGAAGCCAACAAAGCGTTCTGGCCATGCAGAGGCCACTCAGCTTCTTCAGAGTTGAGGAAGATTAAAACAGCCCGACATCTCCAATCTTCCTCAGCTGGCGGTTCACGCACTTGCATAGGCAGATGAAAAGGGGGCTTTGGAGATGCATTAAAAAACATGTATGGAGATGGTGGATGGGGAGGGAGAGCCGGTGTGTGCAGGAATGGGATGGAAACTAATGCTTTTCTGTATTTTTTTTTTGGAGTCTTTTGTTTCCCGGCCCATGGTGGTAGCGCATTGGAAGGGTTCTGGAATTTCAGGACACAAAGTAGCAGTTTTAAATAATGAGAGAAGATTCCACATGGAACGCTCATCTGGCTGTGGCAGCCTGTGACTGAATGAGAGAAAAGTGCCCTAGAAGCTATTCATTACGAATTCACTGGAAGCTCTCAAACGAGGCTGGCAGAAGCTGAAATTGAAGTGGTCTCTGACCTAATTTTCTTCTGCATGAGACATCTGCATCAAGGCTCTCTTTGATGTATTCCACTTGGCTCTGTCTACAGGATTGTATCACATGGCCTCCGTGTTGCCTTCTTATTGAAAGACATTTTCAGCCTGAGCAAGGTAATGCACAATGTTACCGTTACCCAAACTAATCACTCAATGGGCTCCTAAAATAGAAACAATAGCAATTCAGAGACACTGTTGTCTGCTGCCTGTTCCTGCAGCTTGGGCTCCTGGTTTCTCAACTTAGATTGCTGCCATTTGCCTCATGTAATTCCAAAACAAAGGACAGAAAGACAAGCAAAGTCATGCAGGATAATGTTGGGACCAGGAACACACTGGATGGGACTTCCTCTTGTTTGATCCTTCAAACCATTGGCTAGGAGTCGGGATCCATTTCAAGCCTCACAAAGCAGGGCTGAGATGTCTCTGCCTTAGGAAAATAAAGGCTTTCTTGATTTAGGTGTTGCATTTATTCTAAATGCTGAGTGACAGAGAGAAGGGGGTATGTGTGTACTGAACATTGGCTGTTATTCTTAGAGATCTTGGAGCTACTTTAAAAAAAACTATCCTCCCTCTTCTTAAGCTCTCTCAACCTAGGTAGAATGCAGGAGTGAATTTTAAAGAGAAATAATGATAATAATCTTTTTTAAAGCCACGGTAATGAGGAGCCTTCTTTATGTGGGCAGAATAGCTCTTGCCACCCCATAAGGGCTGCTTGCTAATGGTGTGCCCCTCTTCCCACAGTCCCAGCATTATGTGAATAACTGGGATGTCTTTTGTGTCCCACCCCCGAAGAAGAAACCTTTGAAATTCTAAATGACTGTGCTGAGGGTTTTAATGTCTGCCTCTGAGAGCAGATCTCAAGGCGCACTCAGTGAAAAGCCTTCAGAGATGCCTCTGTCCCAAGAATTGAGATGACGGTGCAGTCTTGTGCATGCCCCTCACCCCCGTTCTGCTTCTTCCAGGGAGAACTGCAGATGTGATCAACATTCCCCTGTCCCGTGCCCAAGCACAGATATGTGCTCAATGCCTTCCTTTCTGATGCATATAAAACAAAACCATCGGGCAGGCAGCGTGCGGGTCCTTGTGGGGACTCCAGCATTAAGGTGGCTGCTCACTTTCCTGGTAGCACACGTGTAATGCACATAACACAGCAGATGCATGCCACGAATGTCTACAGAGAGCTGGGGAACATCAGAGTTGGAGTCTCTCAGCAGACATTCTCCACCATCAAGAATCACACCAGATACTCCCTTCCTCCAGGAAGCCTTTCTTCAACATGCTTCATGTATGGGGGGCTTGTAAGCTGTCAGCACACTAGAGCAGCAATATACCCTCAAACCAAACACTTAGGATTCCATATTCTCTGTCTTGTCTGTCAGGCTATGACATCTTGAAGGCAGGTGTGGTATCTGTCATTGTAGTTACCCAGGCTGGGAAGTGCACCCCAATTTACCCAAGACTTACTTAGTTTTTAGGATAGGAGTCTCAGTGTCCCCGATTGCTACCAAAGCACCCATACACGGTAAATGCTCAATTAGTATGTTATGAACTTCAAAGAAAAAAAGATCATATTACTTTTGCCCTATTGATGGTCGAGGGCTGGTGTTAAGAAGCTGTCTGTCAAGAAAAAGGGAATGGCCTCAGTAAAGGCCCAGGCTCCTGGCTCTGCAGTCAGACAATCTTAGCCCTAGATGGAGTAGATGCTGCCCACTGTGAATGCTGTCCTGTGCTCTGCGTCCTCGATTGTCAGAAACATGAGCTGTAAGTCACAGGGATATGAAGGGAACCAGAAGAGGGGAGGGAAAGTAGAGAAAGGAGAAAAGAAGGAAGAGGAAGGGAGGCAGAGGAGAGAGAGGGGGATTCAAGAGACAGAAGAGGCGAGGGGAAGGGAGAGAAAGGGGAGTGGAAGAGAGGAGGGAGGGGAGGATGGAGGAGAGGGGAGAGGAGGGGGGGAGGGGAGGAGAGGAGAGGAGAGAGGAGGGAGGGGAGGAGAGAGGAGGGAGAGGAGAGAAGGAGGGAGGGAAGGAGAGGGGAGAGGAGAGGGGAGTGGAGGAGAGGGGAGGGAGGGGAGGAGAGGAGAGAGGAGGGAGGGGAGGGGAGGATAGAGGAAGGAGGGGAAGAGAAGGAGGGAGGGGAGGAGAGGAGGCGAGGGCAGACAAGACAACAGAGCGTGGGAAGGAGAGGCCCATGCTCAGCCTCGCAGGTGTACAGCCCTAAGGTGGTCCCTGTTTAACAACATCTGCCTAGCCTCCCTTTCTGCCCTCACCCGCTCCATCCCCCATCCCTTCAGTGACCACCCTTCCAACCAGAGAAGGCCCTGTTCCTCCTCAAACACATGCCCTTGTTTACCTCGTGCCCCTGTCCAGGGTTCTCACCTCCAGGGCGTGCTCATCTGTGCGAGTTCGTGAAACCTGCTCCTCTCTTCCCTCAGGGAGCCCGCACGCATGACCCTGCACCAAGAGCCCCCATCTCTCCCCACTGTTCACCCCTTCACACAGCCTTATCTGTCTCCACAAGTGTCTTCAAGGCCACCGACGCGCTGTGTGCTTGCTCACAGCCTATCTATCTAGAAGGACCCTTGTAGAACTCTATGTTCCAACCCATGTGTTCGCCACTGAACGCCTGACACTCGCGGATTTGAGAACTCCGAATTAGCAGGGTAACTGATGGCCTGATTTTTTCCCTTCTTTTCAATAATAGCTACCGTCTAGAATTTTTGACACTAAGATTAAAACAAAATCATTGACCCCAGGATTTCCCTACTTTGATTCCTTCTCTACTCCCCAGTTTCTAGAGCAGGGCCTGCCACAGAGAAAACTTTCAGTCAAATTTTAAAAATAAATTAGTGAGTGTAAGCATGGAATCAATGCCTGTGATTAGGGTGTAACCTCACATATCAAGCCAGCCTAGATTATAGAGACCTTGTCTCATAAAACCACAATCAATCAATAGCTCAAACACTCAACTGCTCATTCTCTGCCTGATAGGAGAGCTCATCATCATTTCCTAAATTTAACAAATATTTCAAAATAGCTTATTTCATGATATATTTTAAAAATTTATTTTCATTTATGTGTATGTGTGTGTGTGCCACCTGAATGTGGGTACCAGTGGGGACCAGGAGATGGTATTGGATCCCCTGATGCTGGAGTCACAGGAGCTTTTCAGTTGGGAACCCAACTCAGGTTCACTGTAAGAGCAGAAAAATGCTCCTAACTAATGAGCCATCTCCCCAGTCCTCCAATATGTGTTCAATAATAATATATCCTAAAAGATCCAGAGTCTGAAAATTATCATGCAAAGCCAGATTCGCTCATAGTTTTGAAAAGACAGTATTTTTTGACATGATTGTTTTCTTGGAGCTTCTTTTTCTAACTTTTTAATAGGTACACTCTTAGAAAGAATATGGCATTTATCCTCCTTTTGGTTCAAAAAGTATTTAATGAATTAAAAGTATTGCTAACCATTCTGCTTGGTACTAACAGTATGTTTCACAAAATGAAAAAGAGTCTAAGATTACACATGTAAAGCTTTAAAAACAATACCTGAAAACACATATTAAGCACTCAGTAAGTGCGAATAGTGAGTACAATTGTTGTTTATATTACCTGAACTTTATAGTCATTCAGAGAGAGATGATCCACCACATATATGACAGAATTATCTCCCGTAGAAAAGGTTACAATAATACAAGGTGTAGACTGCCATAACCCCAGGGCAGTGCCTGAGGTCAGACACTGAAGTGGTCCTGTGTCCAGCCACTGGGTACCAGGATTTCTGGTCCCAGTTACAGATGTAATGAGATCCCGATACTAGAGTATTGTTGAGGGGGTCCCAAGTGGACTTTTATGAGAAGTATAGTCAGACCTCTTAAAAGAATGGAGAGCTGTGATTTCACCTTGTTAGGTGATCTGATCCAATTGTTTTTGCCTATTGGCTAATGAATGCTGTTTATTAAATGTCTGTAGATGTGCAGGGAAGGGGTTGGTGGTGAGGATTTCCCCCCAAATGAAGTAAGTGAGAGAGTCCCCGAGGCAGGGGGCTGCTGCTAGGAGGAGCTGTTCTTTGAGACAAGTAGGAATGCAGCCAATAATCTGAAGGGCTTAATTCCTGCCAGCAGATGCTCCCTGGGAACCCACTTGGTGCAAAGATAATACTGGGCACAACGGGAAGGCGAGAGACAGGTATGTCAAGTGTCCACCTCCAGTCTCTGCACATTGTAAGGGAAATAATATGTTCCCACCAGCGCTAGGACGGCAACCACTACAGGAGCAAGCCTAAACCAAGTGAGCCGGCATGGGAAGGATCTCGTGGTCTGCCTTGTCTTCCCATCTTTCTCTTCCTTCTCCCTCCCCCCTCCACGCTGCAAGCTGCAAGCCTTACCGGCCTGGGCCTCCCCAAGGACAATAGGAGAGCTGCCCTTGATGAGCAGGAGAGGACTCTCCTTGCCTGCCTCCCAGCATTCGGTTGCCTAGCTTTGACTTTGCTCTGTGGAGAATAAGTCACAGCCCCTCCACTCCCCCACCACGGAGGTCCCCTAGGGAGCTGAGACCTCACCTCCTCCCAGAGAGCCTGCCTGTAACATGGGATTGTCAGGTACAAAGAGGGGAAACCTTCAGAGGCCCACACCCCTGTTTGGAGAGCAAGGAGGGTCAAGGGGAATAATTGCTAGCAGTTGAATGTGAGCAACTGCAGAGGGATTGGAAGGAAAAGGGTTTTAGGAAGGGAAGAAAGAAAGGGAGGAAAAGAAAAGCCTGTGCCCCCCGCCTTCTCCCCCAAACTTCATAGTCTACGCACAGAGAACTGCATGGTGGTCTGGGTCCTTGTAGAACATTTGTGTGCCGGACAATAGCACAGCCTGGCTTCAGATCATCAGCTGCTGGTTTCTGGTTAGCTCTCCCTTTATGTGAGAGCACAATGCGAGCCTTCAGTCACACTGACTCTTGAGAAATACATCTGGTTTTTTCTTTCAGACGCTCTGAAAAGGTCAGCCTGTTCGTTTCTTAGACGCGAGACACCACATCTTTTTTTTTTCCCCTCCCTCTGAACTGGAAAGACAGACCTACACCTTTTCTTGCCTCCTGGTACATAATTAGACATGGTGCAGCTCTCCCAGCCGGCCAGCCCATCCCGTGCACTTTGCAGAGACACAGCCCAGCATCCCTGGCTGCTGAACTCCTGGGCTGATCACAAAGGCTCCATACAGTCTCTCCCTTCCCCGCCTGGAGACCCTGGGATCCTCTTGCTGGTTGTTTTGTTAATTATGACAAGGACTCCCTCCCAGGCTGATCCCCCCCCAATGCAGTGCTTGACCAGGGAGGCCGTCTGTGGCATAAGGAGGACTGGAGAATTTTTGCACACACAAAACACCAAAAAAAAAAGCCAACCAACCCCACATTTTAATCATTTTCACTCCAGTGATGGTTAAGATTCTCCATGCGCATTGTAACATAATA